TATATATATATATATATGTGTGTATAAAACACGACAGATAGTAAAATACGAATATCATCCAATGTTTCCTCAATAATTCAATTTACAGCAAAACTATCGTGAATGATGTTAATGAGACACTATTAAAAGATAAATTCATGTGAATTTATATATTTTTTTGTATATCTAATAATACATTACGTACAAATATTCCATTATCTAGAAAATATTTTCTTACGTTATGTCTGCGAGTTGAAAATTACAGTTTTTTTGTAAGTTAAAAAAATTAAATGATAACCTTATGTAGTAACCTATTATGAATATCTAATAAAAACTTGTAGAAATAATCTTACGTTGTATACATTTAGAATTGACGCATAATTTTACGTTTCAGCGTGCCAATTTTCAAAAATCTGCCCGAGGAAACTCTAATCAAAATTTCGGATATTTTAGAAGAGGTATGAGCTGACTTTCTTGACAAAACATATCTTTCGTTACTTTTAAATTATATAATTGATAATTAATTTCATATTTACAGACGTTTTACAACAATGGGGATTATATAATAAGACAAGGAGCGAGGGGTGACACATTCTTCATCATCAGTAGAGGACAAGTACGCGTGACAATAAAACAGCCCGATACAACAGAAGAGAAATATATTAGAATCTTAAGAAAAGGCGATTTCTTCGGTGAAAAAGCTTTACAAGGGTGAGTGTAATTAATATTATTATTTTCAATTTTTATTCAAGATTTTTGTTATTGTGAAAACATAAACATCCCACGTCATTTGTTACTTCTTGTTTAAATATATCTTATCTCAAGATTGTAATATTTTTAAATGTAATATTTTCGCATTTTAATAAGATTAAGATATAAATATATGCTAATTTACTTCACCATTATAGAGATGATCTCAGAACTGCTAATATTATCGCTGATGATCCAGAAGGAGTGAACTGTTTGGTAATAGACCGCGAAACGTTTAATCAATTAATCTCATCCTTGGATGAAATCCGAACGCGATACAGGGACGAGTTGGTGGAACGTAGGAGGTATATATATATATATAATCTTTTGTTAACTACAGAAATTAGATTTATAGATAAGTATTCTAGAATTGTGTGTGTGTGTGTGTGTTTGTGTGTGTGTGTGTGTGTGTGTGAGAGAGAGAGATAGCTGTAATCACTATTATTTGTAAATGTCAATTATGTTCCACGCTTAAAACATTAGGATGGGACAATAAACTGTACATTCCAAGTAAGTTCAACAATAAAAATATATTATGTAAATCAAAAACAAATATCAATTTACTGATAATATCGATAATTTTTTAGCATAAAATTATATTATTAATATTGTTAATAAATTGAGTACAAAAAAATAGCGAAAATGTAGAAAAGCTTCTTTGCAATTTACAAATATACATTTAACATAACAAAGAAATAATTTGTACCGATTAACAAATATTGAAATCTTTTTTTTAGATTAAATGAGGAATTTCGAGATGTAAGATTACAAGACCTTCGGACTATTGCGACTCTCGGCGTGGGTGGTTTCGGAAGAGTTGAATTAGTCCAAATTGCCGGAGACAGCACACGATCCTTTGCTCTAAAGCAAATGAAGAAAGCGCAGATCGTCGAGACACGACAGCAACAGCACATTATGTCAGAAAAGAGGATCATGAGTGAAGCGGATTGTGATTTTGTAGTCAAGCTTTTCAAAACCTTTAAAGATAGAAAATATCTTTATATGCTGATGGAAGCCTGTTTGGGTGGCGAGTTATGGACTGTTCTTAGGGACAAAGGATATTTTGATGACAGTACTACACGCTTTTATACTGCATGTGTTGTCGAAGCATTCGATTATCTGCACTCCAGAAATATCATCTATAGAGATCTTAAACCGGAAAACTTACTTTTGGATAATCAAGGGTAGAGAATATATTCTGTATAATAATAAAATAATATATTATTTTGAGAAAATTTAAAAAATTATGGACATATTAATGTATTAATTTTGGATTATAAAAAAAATGTTCCATAATACTTAACAGATTTTGATGGATTTAGAATATTTCGTCGTATTATTTTTTAGATATGTTAAACTTGTGGATTTTGGCTTTGCCAAACGGTTAGATAACGGAAGGAAAACGTGGACTTTTTGTGGTACACCAGAATATGTGGCACCGGAAGTCATTCTAAATAAAGGTCACGACATAAGCGCTGATTATTGGTCTCTTGGCGTTCTCATGTTTGAGTTGCTTACGGGTACGCCTCCTTTTACGGGTGCTGATCCGATGAAGACGTATAATATTATCTTGAAAGGAATCGACGCTATAGAATTTCCTAGATCCATTACGCGTAACGCGATGGCACTCATCAAAAAGCTTTGCAGGTAAATTGTGATATACTTTTACTTTTATTAGAGTTTTTTTCTTTTTTCGTGATAAATTTATAACATAATACATATATTTGTTGTTAACAGTATTGTTCTTTTTCAGGGATAATCCAGCAGAACGTCTTGGATA